TTGCGGTATTGAGACATCATTTGCAGTTTAGTTTGCATACTTTTACGCGATTTATCTTCCATTTGCTAAATTATTTTAAATATGAAATATATATGTAGTTGAAAATGTGAATAAAGAATAAAGAAAGCTACTGACAAAACCACGCTGTAAGCATCTGGGATCCCCACGGTATGGTACACTATAATGGGTATCGATAATGAGGCGGTAGTCTTTTTAAATTCGCGGCATTCGTTGGGAACTGAACTCCATCTGGTATCGCAAAGAACCAAAACTGGTCTATGCGTGGCTTATTGGCCTAGTAGATTAACCTAACTTAACCTTTACCACCACGAGATAAGCTCTTACCCTATACTCCTCACTAAGTTCCTTGAACTTCGCAATCGCCGGCATGCCCAAATACAAGATGTGTTTAATAAAATTTGATTGATCCTCAATGTCTTGGCTGAGCGAACGCAAAATTGGCTCATAAAAAATGCCATCGTGTCGCAGCACCTGGATCATCTTCCTGTAAGTGCCATTAATAGTTTTTATCGCCTTTAAGCGTACGTTGGAGTTCTCAATTTTCTTGCGAAAAACGCGTGACTTCAACTCCTCCTCCAATACGAACTCGTTCTCGTACTTGATGCGATTTTGCAAAACAGCGCGCTCGAGCTGAGAGGCAGAGAGGCAGTATTAATTATACAGAGATCGAGAGATAGACAAAGTCGGTGAATTAAACATTTCTTAGTAAAGTAAATATCAGAAAGAATATAAACTGTAATGTCTACCAATTTTTCCTTGTATACATTCTTCAACTGATCCAGTCGAAACTTTAAGCGATCCCGCTCCTTACGCATTACAAATGTGCGCTGATTGATATTGTCCACAACCAATTCAACGGGCATCTTCTGATACAAGCGCTGCATATCCTTGTGGTTGATGAGAAAATTTCGTATCTTCTTGGTATTATCGCCGTAGAGCACATTGGAGAGCTTTGTACGTCCGTCGCGGCATTGACGTTTCAAATTGCGGTTTTCGCGTATGTAACGCTTGTGATTAGCTGCCGCTTCTAGCTTTTTGAAAACCAAACGCTTTGCTGCTCAATGTAGGATTGCAGTTATGTTCACATCGATTTTCAATTTAGTCAAAAACTTACATAATAAGTCAGCCATGCAATTGAATTGCTCCGTCAAGGAGGTGGGTGTCCAGCGATCATCAATGACCATATGTTGACGCACAAATGAGACACCGAAGAAGCCGTGTGTTCGGACGGCGCGCGGATGTACTGGCTTCGGTGCCATTATAAGATTTGCTGGCTGCCGAGCTGCGTGCTTTTCCCGCAAACTTTTGATTCCAACCATTCTTATTTGTTTGGATATTACTTTACTACTAACTAATTTACGTAATTGAAATTACGTTACTAAAAAATTTATGTTTTTCCGAATTTATTAATTGCTTTGCTATTTGCCAATTTTTAGCGTATTTAATTGCGCTATAATTCGTCTGGAATTATAAAATTCGCGTAGTCACAATTCTCTTATACAAATTTTCACGTTTTGACAATAAATACTATTTGTAACTTGAATCGTTTCTGAAGATCATAAAAAGTCGACG